CTCTACATTCACTGACATTCTCCAGGTGGCTTCCTGAACAACACCTTTGGGTTCTGCCTACTTATTCTTCTGTGAAAATAATATCTGAAACATGATCTCCCTATGCTTTCTGGGTCCTGGGTCAGCAGTTCAGTTATCCAACTGCAAGCAGAAGCATTACCTGGAGGGCTTGTTCGAATGCAGATTCCTGGCCCCACTCCTAGGGTTTCCAGGGGTGGAGTCCAGGAATTTTTGTTTTGTTTTGTTTTTGCTTTTTGAGATGGAGTTTTGCTCTTGTCACCGAGGTTAGAGTGCAATGGTGCGCTCTTGGCTCACTGCAACCTCTACCACCCGGGTTCAAGTGATTCTCCTGCCTCAGCCTCCAGAGAAGCTGGGATTACAGGGACACGCCAGCACACCTAGCTAATTTTTGTATTTTTAGTAGAGATGAGGTTTCACCATGTTGGCCAGGCTGGTCTCGATCTCCTGACCTCAGGTGATCCACCCGCCTTGGCCTCCCAAAGTGCTGGGATTACAGGCGTGAGCCACCACTCCCGGCCAAGAATTCGTATTTTGTAACAAGTTCCCAGATGGTTTTGATCTTAAATGATTTAGGACCCATGCTTTGAGAATTACTGTTCTGTGCTATTTATTACCTTTAGACCAATCATTCCGGGAAATTTTCCACTGTGGTAAGAGCCCACATGAAAGTCAGAAAATCTGAGTTAAAGTCTGGAATCTGCCACTAATAACTGCATGACCCTAGGCTCATTACTTAATCTCCCTTAGTCCTTAATATCTTGCCAATAAAAAAGAGAGAAAATAGTTCTCGCTTTGCAGCCAATTCTTAGACCCTGCATAATTCATTGTGGAGTTCCATAGTTATTACCAATATTTATAATTAGCTCTATATCATGATATTGTCTTTAGCAAGACTTTCTGAAAAAAGTCATAATAGAAGTATTCACATTTTCTTTTCAAATCTAAATATCTGATATTGGACTGTATTTCTAGCTTGAGGGCAGAAGCCTTAAAATATTTTTAGGCAGCAACGACAAAAAGCCATACATAAAACCACCAAATAATATGCTTAGAGAATACATTGAATCACCTGGTTTCAGTGAATGTACGATGAATCCAAAGAACAAGCTTGAGTTAAGATGTTACTATAGACATGGAACCATTGCAGGAACAGGAAAAAAGCAAAAAAGCTCTAAACCCTCACATTCAGCCATGATCCCTGCAGGGAGTTTACAGTCTCCAAGATAACTCTGTCGTTGGGTCTGGTAGTATTTTGCCTGGCACCAAAAAGTGGGGATGTCCATATTTTGTGATATACCTTTTCTTTTTTTTTTTTTTCTGAGACGGAGTCTCGCTTTGTCTCCAGGGTGGAGTGCAATGGTGCGATCTTGGCTCACTGCAACCTCCACCTCCCGGGTTCAAGTGATTCTCTTGCCTCAGCCTCCCAAGTAGCTGGGACTACAGGTATGTGCCACCACATCCAGCTAACTTTTGTATTTTTAGTAGAGATGGGGTTTCACCATGTTGGCCAGGATGGTCTTGATCTCTTGACCTTGTGATCCACCCACCTCAGCCTCCCAAAGTGCTGGGATTACAGGTGTGAGCCACTGCGCCCAGCCTATTACCCGTTTTCTTACACGTAATAAATTATGTTATTCTTCCTTTTGCTGTATTTTTTATTATGTTCAGAAAATACAGAAAAACATATAAGGTAGATTTTAAATCACCCCATATCCATTACCCAGAAAAACAAAACAAGAAAATAAAAACCATTTTTGAACATATTCGTATATTTTTTTCCACCCTTCCTTCCTCTTTCCTCTCTCTCTCTCTCTCTCTCTCTCTCTCTCTGTTTCTTTCTTTCTTCGCCAGGGCCGATATTTTTTAAAAGGTACATACATCATGTATATTTAACACAAACTGGACATATTCTTATGCCATTCTGTTTTTTCATTTAGTATATTATGAACATATCCTAACATTCCTAAATACTGTCTTCTACAGCATCATTTTAATGTCTGGATCTCAGTCCATCCTTTGGCTGTATCATACTTTGTTTGTTCATCTCCGTAACCACTTTTTAATTTACCAGATAAGACGGTAAAATTAAATTCTGACACAATCTCCTTTGTAACATTTTTTTTTTTCCTGCTGACCACAATTTTCCTCCTGGGACCTACTATATTGAGGACTGTTCTGATAACCAGTTTTTAAATGAATATTAGAATTTCATTTTAATTTGCATGTTAAAATGGATTTTTAGACTGACTCAAAACTTACTTATGTTACTGCTATATCAAAAAAGTAGATGAGTTGGTAATTTCATTTTTATTCTTACACAGAGGAGTCTTACCTTCACATTATTGTGCAACAGACTAATCTGTAGCCAATAAGAAGAGAAAAGGTAAATCTCTGTGCAGTTATACGAAATGATCGTAAAAACAAAGGAAGGCAATTATTAATCTAAACCGATTCACAGAGACAGCTTGCCATTCAGATGGGTTTCAATACTGTCTATCTACAACCTGACAATTCCCATCCGGAAATCAGCAACCCTTATCTCTCCCCCAAATCTCAGAGTTGTGTATTTAACAGACTATTTCCCACTCCCACCCAGATGACTGGTAGGCATCTCCCATTTAACATATCCTGAACCGCTGTTTCTCATGCTCCTCTCCCCTCAACCTCTTCCCCTTCCAAGTAGAGGTTTCCTCCATTCTACATGTTGTTCTGGTTAAAACACACACAAAAAAACTACAGTCTTGAGACTGACTGTCTCCTCTACTCTATAAGAGTTCTTATGTATCAGCAAATCCTGTTGGTGTAATCTTCAAAAATATCTCCAGAATCCACCACTTTCCCTCACCTCTGTCACCACCATCTTGGTCCATACCCCGATGCTCACCTAGATACTCAGATGACTGCAGTAGCGTTTAGCTCATCTTCTTGCTTGTATCCTTGCTCTGGGCACCCCCAGTCTTTTCCAAACAGCTTCCAAGGTGATCAATTTGAAAGCAAAGTTAGCATATCACCCCTTTCTCAAAACCCTCCAATGACTACGCAACTCTTCCCAAGCTCATAGCTACAGGGTCAGACAGGACCTGGCTCACAGTTTCCTTCAGAATTCACCTACTATGCTCTTCTCATTTCATCTGCTCCAAAATCACCAACCTCTTTGCACATACACATGCAAAGCACAGACCGCCTCAGGGCTTTCGCACTTAAGGATACCTCTGCCCAAAGCACCTCGCCCTTAGGAATTTTCAGCGCTCCTCCTTCACTTGCCTCAGCTATGTGCCTGGGTATCACTTTACCACAGTGACCATTCCTGGTCATTCTCTCTGCCTTACACTGATGTCTTCTTAATAGCATCCATCGATTCTTGATATATATTTATATATCGATTGTTGATTGGCTTCTCCACCCACAGCAATGTAGTAAACTCCTTGAGGACAGACTAGTTCTTGTTCTCTGTTGTACTCCTGCTTCTTGGAACAAGGCCTTACAGAGCATAGGTACTTGTATGTGTAGAATGAATGAATGCATTAATAAATGTTTTATATCTATTAAACAATTTATATTCTGGAAAGATTCAAAGGAATCTGGTAAAGTGTTGGCTTCTGAGAATGTAAATTGGGGGTCTGGGATGATGGGACAGAGACTTGTTTTATAGCGTATGTTCTTTTGCACTATCTGCACTTAATATCATATTGCCAACAGAATCTTTTAATCCAAATGCTTTATTTTGAAATTAATGCAACTCAAAATAAATCACAGCTTCCTAGCTCACTTGCACAATATTCTATTCACCAGTTTCAAGGACTCTGTATCTGTGGATGAGGCACTGAGGGATATGTTAAGTGCATTACTCCTCTAAACACAGTCTTATAAAGAGGAAATATCTTCCTACTTCATACACTGTGGTTTTATAAGTCCTCCCCCTGGCACCATCCCTAACCCTTTTGGTTTTCCCCAAATGACACTAGAAAATGAAAACCAGGGGAAATTCAAAGGAGAACAGCAAACAGTCCTCAAAGAAACCAAACATAATTTTGAGTCTCTAACTAGAAAGAAATAATCAAAATATTTCATGAATAACAAGTATGTTTTTAACTGAATCTTAAAATGATCCCTGTATTTCCACAAGATTCAGACCAAATGGTCTCCCTTAAAAAAAGAATGATGATCATAGACAATCCATTTTCTAAAAGACATTAAAAATAAAAAATGTGTTTGTGCCATGTGTAATCTATTTACCAAGTCTGAAAAGTCAGTATTCCTGAGGTTTATGAAATACCTTCCTAAAGTTCTCACAAATGTATCTTGTATGGCTTGGTGTGGGGCATAATTTATTGAGAAAAATACATTAGCTGCATTTTGGGGGGCTCGTTCTGCTTGATGAAGCAGGTTCGTTTAATCAATACAAACTGCTTAATATGCTAATTGCTACGCTAAGTGGCAGTAACCAATTCCTCTGGAACACAGATGCAGATGTTATTGAACAAGTTTTGTAATAATCATGAGGCAACCACGTGGCTGATGAGTAAGCCATTCTTAGGGCATACAGAGACCTGCACATCAGTTCTGGTTCCTCCTCTTTCCTCCATCTGCTGGATTCGGTGCATTCCCCTTTGTGTTACAAGAAGAATGAATTCTTCAAAGGATCCCATTTTCTCCAATGAGAAAACATAATCACTTACAACTTGTTCTTGTTTCTCTGAACACTTGCAACCTTGTGAACATACAGGGTTAACACACACTAAAGGCTGGTTAGCGTCCGGTGTGATGAGACGAGTAGAAAATTATGCCTGAATTGACTCTGTTCTCAGCACAGGATATGATTACTGATCAGTGAGTATGTCTCACTGTGAACCGTTGTATCATGAAGGGTGGAGCAGCATAAGGTGTATGCTATGATTTCTCTAGCTCCTGTTTCATCCCTTGTTTTTTCTTGATACAGTCACACTTCTTGAGAATATACATCCTTTTGTTCTTTTCAGGACTAAGGGGCCAGATCCTAAAATCCACTTCAGAGCATCAGTGCTAAAAGCATGTTACCTGGTCTAGCGACCTCAACATCACGTGAGTACTTAACCAGAAATGTGCACTTCAATGCCCTGCCCCAGGCCTGTTAAAACACTCAAGGTGGAGCCCAGAAATCTGTGGCTTTACAAGCCTTGTAGACGACTGTGACACACAAGTAAGTCAGAGATCCGCTGCGTCTTTCTTTCCCTTACCCTCACCCTGTCACCTTTACCCACACCACAGACACATTTACACTCAGACCCCAGAGCCTCTCTCTGCTTTCAACCTCTGATGAGTCTCCCAAACCTGTTTCTTCCTTTCAGTTCCCAGTGAGTATCCATCCAGGGCTTTTGGTTTCCGTCCTGACTCTCTCCTTAACTACAGGGTGACCCACCGAGCCTCAGTTTCTGCCATTATGAAATGGATCTACTAATATGTCCAATAAAATGCAAGATACTCCAGCATTTCAAAAGACAAGGCAGCAACACTGATTTAAATATTTTAAAAAGCTACTTATATCCTTTAATTCAGCAATCCTACTCCCGAGTTTAGAAAACTCAGTTAACTAAGTTCACAAACTCGGTTCAATTAGGTTAACAATCTATAAGAAGTGCGTACAAGGATAATTGATGTAGTACTGGTTTTGATGTTGTTGTTTTGTTTTGTTTTTTATTTTCAGGGACCCACTTCACAGCCAAAGAGTATTGTTTTAATGGCAAAAAATCTGATATTCTTATAAATAGGTTTAATAAATTATGTTACATCAAGACTCTGAAATATCATGCAGGCATCAAAAAGAATGAATAAGAACAAAGTTGGCAATCTTTTCTGTTTTGGACCAGATAGTAAATGGCTTTGCAGGCCACATCATCGCCAACTACTCAACTCTGCTGTTTCACTGTGAACAACAACCCATAAATGAACAGGGAGGATGTAACTGTGTTCCAATAAAATTTAAATTACAAAAACAGTCACAGGCCAGACTTCGCCCCTGGGCTGTATTTTGTCAACCTCTGAATTACAACTGTACTACAAGACTTCAAACTATTTCCATTAGATGTTTACTATTGAATGGAAAAACTAGGGGTTAGTTGTGTGATGTGATCACAATTTTGTACAAAAAACAATTGCATCACGACACCCATCTTTTGTATGTATCTGTGTGTGTATGTGTCTATGTATATATGTAGATGTGCATATCTGTACAGGATTATATGGGTACACAGGAAAACACGGAAAGGTACTTCCGTGTGAACTTCTTAACTAGGTTTAGGAATTGCTAATAAAGAGACAGGAGGGGAAAAAGATGCATGTAAACAAATTATAAAAAGAAAAAATAGAGCACTAATCATCATCTATATGATCATAATTTTGCAGTTAGTTAAATTTTACAGACATGTGTTTATGTAAAAATAAATTAAATAAGATTCAAAAACCAGTCTCTATCTCCAAGGATAGTTGTGAAAATTGAACGAAATAAAGCATGCAGACTCTCAGCAAAGAGCCAGATGGAGCCGCTCATTCCAACTCTAATTATCCCTCAATTAGAAGAAGCCTCCTAACTGGGTTTTCTGCTCACATGCTTCCTACCTAAAAACCTCCGCCCTTTCCCTCACCCCTTTCAATTCTGCACTCAGTATTCTTCGGCTCATTCATTCCCTCATTCCATCCATTTATATACTCTGGGCACCATTTATAAGCCACACACTGTGCTAGGGACTGGAAACTTAAAATAAATAAAACGTTCACACTTTCTCCGTCCCCCAGGATTTTAGAGTGTCTGGTCAGAGAGCTCGTTGAAAGCCAGGTTTTGGATATATCATTGTCTGCCTCCACAACGGTGCTCCTTCCTCTAAGAGAAGACCGTCCTTGCAGCAGAGTTCTCCTTCCTGAAGGCAGAGATTTCTTGTATATGCTCATATACGTCGTGCCCACCAGGATTCCTGGCATACAGTAGGCATTTAATAAAAAGGGATTGGATAATTGAATTATGGATGGATGAATTGATTGAAGAAATGAATGAATCATTTGTGTGAATGGGAATTCCCTATAATCTGCCTTCCCTTGCTTCTCCCACGACAAGTCAGTAATAGTAACAGCTCAGGTTGCTGCTGTATGTAATAGGTACCAGGGGCTGTGCCAAGAAGCCACCTGCCTTATCTCACCTGGCAAGGTGTGAACTAATATAATCCACACTTTGTGGAAGGGAGAACCAGTCCTAAGGGTGGTAAAGTTAGTAGCTGCAGGACCCTGAGCTGGTAAAGATGTCCAGCCAGGATCTAGGACCTGGCCTCTTACTCCAGAGCTACGGTTCATAACACAATCCTACGTATTTCTCATAGAAAGTACTGAGAGTATTCTACAGATCCTAAAGGATGGACTCAAATCTACTCTGTTCCAAATGCTAAAAGGCACCTTAATTGTATTTCCAAAGCTTAAAGAAATGGCAACTGGCCAAACATCCAGGCTGCAAGGAGATGAGACTGCCCCCACCACCATCTTGAAAAACAGGATATTAGAACCTCTATGAGGCCCCTGGACCGCCACTGTCCCAGGGGCCTTCTTTCAAGTGGAAATTAACGATCTGCCAAACATGTGGTCTTCCCCGACATTCTAATGAACCGGTCCTCAAGGGCCGCCTAATTCTGATTCCAGCTCTGACAGATGTTTGGCAGGAACCACCCAAAGAGCCGTCTTTACTTTCTCCAACTCCACTCTTTTGTTCTGACATTTGGAGGAAAAGTGATGGGTACTCCTATCATCCAAATGTTACCAAGATATCACAGAATATTATGGAGCTGTCAAGAAAATAGAGTGAGTAGAGGCTTACTTCCTTGATGTTAGAAAATACAAAAAAAAAAAAAAAAAAAAAAAAATGTGGGTAAGAAAGAAAGACCGCTTTCCTGCTAAGGGAAAGAAAACCATGCAGCAAAGATGCTAGACAGTGAGCAGAACTCTGGTGGAAACAATGCCTCCATCGTCGCTTACAGCTTTCACAAAGCAGACTGTTAGTGAAATCAACCATTTGGGGCCAAATTTCCAAGTGCAGCATGTTGCCGAGCACCAGATGCACTCAAATGGTTATTTTCACGGGGAATGCAAGTGATTTGCATCCATTTATTCAGAGCCATCTGAATTCTCAGCCACATGCATAAAACAAATTCACTGCTCCCTTTGTAACTTTTTCTGCCTCCTTACTAAAAAAATCCTCTCCCCCACCTGTATATTGAAATAGACGTCCTCAGGGACTGAGTTTTTCTGTGGCCTTTTAAAGCAGACTTGCCTGGCACCTGTGCCCTGTTTGGGCATTAGCAGAGAACTGGACTTGGTATTTTGGCTTCGATTTTTCTTTTCCTCTTGGCTCACATAATAATTTATTTGATCCCTATTTTGTTCATTCAACAAACCTTTAAGCCCTGTGCCAGACCCTGAGCTTATTACACACCCATGGGGCCTTGTCCCTGCCTTCCAGAGGTTTATAGGCTCGAATGGAGCTGCCACTTATTCAGAGGTCAGCTTTTAAAGTTAATGCATAAAATAAAAATCCCATCTAATCAGATTGTCCCTTTAAAGACTAGGGCTCATACTCAGTGGAAGCAGGTGCTTTTGTGACAAGATGCCAAGGACATGCCAGAGTGAAGGGGTGGGCTGCTGGACAGAATCACCTGCACCATGTATTCATACATTGTTTTCTTGTTGCACTTTGCTTTACAAAGCAGGTATAACTATGCGTATTTCTGGAATTCCTGCTGAGTACTAGGCTATGAGCCGCACAGAAGACAGGGGCCTTTACCTCATAGTCACATGTGGTTGTGCTTGCTCTGTTCTTTGATACTGCACAAACATCATCAGGGTCTTGAGGAAACAAGAACTCTTGGCTCCATCATTCAAATTCCTGGTGTTGCCTGTTTATGTCCCCATTGCTTCAAGGTGAGTCTCTTTCTCCTGGCCCAACTCACATTAGTTTAAGTAAAAAGGAAATCACCTGCCAGGCACAGCAGCTCACACCTGTAATCCCAGTACTTTGGGAGGCCAAGGCAGGTGGATCACAAGGTCAGGAGACCGAGACCAACCTGGCTAACACAGTGAAATGCATTCTTTACTACAAATACAAAAAAATTAGCCGGACATGGTGGCACACGCCTGTACTCCCAGCTACTCGGGAGGCTGAGGCCAGAGAATCGCTTGAACCCGGGAGGCGGAGCTTGCAATGGGCCAAGAAAGCGCCACTGCACTCCAGCCTGGGTGACAAAGCAATACTCCATCTCGAAAACAAAAAGAAAGAAAAAAGAAGAAGAAATCACTGTAATAGTCCACATGTGTTGAATCTTACTATGCCCTGTCTCGGTGCCTTACATGTACTACCTCATATGAACCAAAACACCAAGGCATAGGCTCTAGTATCACCCATTTATTACATATGATGTGAACAAGGCAAACAGAGGCTGAGTTGCACAGCTCAGAAATGATATTCAACCCCAATCACACAGACCCATCAAATTCTGGCCCAGCTTCAAGCAGAACCTGTCTATCAGAAGAGCAAGCGTTCTCAACCTTGGCCCTACTGACATTTGGGGCCAGCTCATTCTTCGTAGTGGGGAGGGGAGCTGTCCTATGTATTGCATGGTACTTACAGCACTCCTGGCCTCTACCCACTAGATGCCAATGGGACACCATTGTTGGCAGCCAAAAATGACTCCAGATATTGCCAAATGTCCCCTGGGAAATAAAACTGCCACTAATTGAGAACCACTGTTTTAGGGTGACTACACGTTCCAGTTTGCTTGATCACATCCTGTTTAGGTATGTTCCCCAGGCATAACTCCTCACTGAGGCTGACTTCCCAGGAGTACTGTGTGCACAGTCATACAGGGCTCTGTGCTTAGAAGGGTCCTGTACTTGATTTCATGCCCTGTTACGACCATTTTGAAAATCTTAAGAGTTTTTGAACTTACTCCCTGACTTCCCAAAACAGATTGGAAACCGCACTGAACTGATTTCTTTCTTCTCTCAATCCTCATCACTTCTACGTCTATCTTCTTTGCCATGCTTGACACTGGGAAATAGGATTACTCACCACCACCCAGACGGTCAAGCAGATGCACGTGTGATTTTATGCTCTAAAGTGAACACCTCCAAATGAGGGAAGGGTTGTGGCATGACAGGCTGCCTTGCCACCATCAAGCTCGCAATGTACTGCCTACTGACGGAGCCCCCATCTCAAATATTAATACTTGTTTTCGAGTTTATAAACAAAGCCACGATCTGTTAGCAAAACAAGTTGTCTCCTTTTCCTATAGAGGCAGAGCCATGAGCCAGACAACATCCCTGGCACCATGATAGGAGCTCCCAGCTCTGGGGAGGAGCTGTGTAAGCTAAGGCAGCATTTAATAATCAGGTGAAAGCACTATTAAAACACACCCCTGCACATTGCAAATTATTATGTTGTTACAAGAGACTGAAACAGAAGTGCTCAGAAAATTAGATTTGTTTCCCCTAATACACAGGAACAAAGCCATCGCAAATTTAAGGAAGAAGCCTGAATTTCATCTGCATCTATCCTGTCTGAATAAGCAGTTTGTTCTGTGTTAAATGTCTATTAGTAAATGTAGGTTAATCTCATTTAGATTTTTTTTTTTTTTTTTGAGATGGAGTGTCACTCTGTCACCAGGCTGGAGTTCATGGCGTGATCTCAGCTCACTGCAACCTCTGCCTCCTGGGTTCAAGCGATTCTTCCGCCTCAACTTCCCGAGTAGCTGGGACTACAGGCGCATGCCACCATGCCCAGCTAATTTTTGTATTTGTAGAAGAGATGGGGTTTCAGGATGTTGGTCAAGATGGTCTTGATCTCCTGACCTCATGATCCACCCGCCTCGGCCTCCCAAAGTGCTGAGATTACAGGCGTGAGCCACCACGCCCAGCCCATTTAGTTTCTTTTAATTTCTACAGAATTCATAAGTAAGTACAGCATGGTGGTACAAGTGTGGGCACCGGAGCCAGTGGTTGCCTGGGTTTAAATCTTGGCTTTATCACTTCCTATCTGTGCATCCACACTTCCAACTCCTAAGCCATAAAAATGGGATGGTAGTGCCCTTTGATACACCATGTTGAAGATGAAATGTTAATACATCTAGTACTTGGAAAGTGCATGGCACATAATAAGTTCTCAAGAAATATCAGACGTATCATCAATACCATCAGTAGCAGCATGTAGCTAACCCTTGTTTATTCTAAAATTCAGCCCAGGCATAACCTTCTCCAAGAAGATGTTCTTGATCCTTGACAGACACTCTATAGCCCTGAGAATTTTCCTATCAAGTTTCTAAACTCTGCCACATATTTTTCATCTTTAATCGCGATTTTTTTTTTTTTTCTTTTGAGACTGAGTCTCACTCTACCATCCAGGCTAGAGTGCAGTGGTGTCATCTCAGCTCACTGCAATCTCCACCTCCTGGGTTCAAGTGATTCTCCTGCCTCAGCCTCCCAAATAGCTGGGATTACAGGCACCCACCACCATGCCCGGCTAATTTTTATATTTTTAGTAGAGACAAGGTTTCACCATGTTGGCCAGGCTGGTCTCAACCTTCTGACATCAAATGATCTGCCCACTTCAGCCTTCCAAAGTGCTGGGATTACAGGCGTGAGCCACCGCGCCCAACCAATCATGCATTTTTATGTAGTCGAAGTGAAAGAACCCTCCCTCTCTCTTACCAGTTGAATCAATTACATTTGCCACATGCCAGAAACTCAACCACTGTTTCTTTTTCCAAAAATACATTACATAGCCATGGTTTAAAACAGTTAAATATAAGAGAAAGACATAAAGTAATATATGAAAGCCCCTTCCCACACTTTCCAAAGCATAGTCTTGCTCGCAAAGGGTAACCAACACTACCACATCCATTTGTACCCTGCCATAAGTTAATTTTCTGCACTTAGAAGAGCATTAGGGAGGTGTCAGAATCCACCTTGCGTTCTGCCTCATAGTCATTCATTTCCTTTGTACACCTTGATATGACTGTAATACGACTCTCTTCATGTAGTCATTAGTACACATGAATCTCCTCTATTTCTAGTTGACTGCCTCATGTAATTCCTGTCCTATCATGTGCCATAATCTGTCCCCCTGTGGTGGACACTTAACCTCTTTCTAGTTATTTCTGCTCTTACAAATAAGCTCCCCAAGAATGGGAACTTCATCTTCTTCACAGCCATGTCCCCAGTACCTCGTATATTATCTAGTAGATAGCAGGGCTCAGCAAATACTTGTTAAAAAGAGGAATCTAAGAATAAAGGAATGCGTCCTCCCGGGAACATTTGTGTACACATCATGTTCTCTTCTGCTAGTATACTTCAGAGTAAATTCCTAGAAGTACTACTGCTGAATAAAAAGATGTGTGAATTTAATTTCAATAAATAAGAACACACTGTCCTCCAAAGAGACCATAGCCAATTAAACCCACAGAATTACACTGTTGCATGAG